CCTCAAGCTACTGTCTTAGGCCAACAACCGATGATACACGATCGATATAAGCATCATTAGTGACCCGATTCACATCCAGCTTGTTCGACACTTGTAAGTTATATTCCATCTCGGTGATATTACCACAGAAGCACCTTCGAGTACTGAACAATCAAAATGATCGGTTTGACCATATGCCCTCGAACGAAACTGCAATTGAAATAACACAACGAGGGCTGTTGAAGTGTGCCATAAATTTTTATGACAGTTACGGAATTTTGTAGGAAATTATAAGTTCAAAAATTGGAATGTTTTCAAAGTTGGACTTTTTTGAGCATGGACTCCTAATTTTGATAATCTTTATCGTTGAAATCATATGGTCCTACTTAAACACTTCCATCACACAGAAAGAAAGGGATGGATTATGTTTAAGGTCTGAAATTCACAAGTGGTAAATGTGAACTGGTTTCCAACAATCGAGTATTGTCAAATAAAGCTAGCCAAATACCGGAACTTGCGCATAAATTATGGGGACAGTTCGATTTCTCGATTCAATTTCAAGATGGGGAAAACCGACGAGATCATTTTGAAAGCAGTGATTACCGAAGCCACCACCAGTTATGAAAATGATCAATAATTTAGTATGTTTGTAGATCAGAACTCCTTTTCTATATAACGTATATCAGCGCTTCATAAATTGCTAAATTTGCCTTGTTCTGCCTTCATGATAGTCTCTATTTCTTTAACGCAACCTCAGGCATGATATTTCGCAAAAAATACCTGATAAGAAAGCTGCTTTTCAGCAAATAAAGCTTCGTGTCGCGTAATCGCCGCATCGGTTATCTAGGCTGAACCAAGACGCAGTATTTTATGGTTCTTGCAGGGAATTCAGGGTAAACCATGGAGGAATAGTATGAATTGATGTATATCACAAATTTATGAGCGAAGGAGAGAAGAATCCATGTGCCTGAGATCATGATATTACCTATGGTTCCTTTTACTCTTACGTCGGGATGTTCTCGGCGCGATTGTGGACGCGAGTCGCAAAGTAGTAGTTTCATGATGAACTCACGGTTTTTGAAATGACTGGCGTTGTCCTCCTACGGCGAATCCATTGCACAAAACGTACTCTCATTGTCGAACGAGGTTTAAAGCTGTTGTAACATCAACGTGTCTCAAGTACTTTGATATTGTAGCAAAAGACCACTAGAAAACGCTTTACATTAAAAAAAATTGATATTCTATTGTCCGTCTCGTAGAACGCAAGCCTACATCAAGGATAATAGCTCCATAAAATTTACGATTCATTCCCTAGCGATCATGAGGAAAACAGAGCGAAATACCAATTCACCAATCTAGATGCGGTCCTTGATTTTTTCACAATCAATTACGGATAAACAGAGTTCATGGAACGTGCATCAAACATGCAAGGCCACTTGTCTTTAAACGCATTCTAAGTAATGCTTTCAAAGTTGATCAGTACTGTCCCTTCTGCCTGTTTCGTTGTGCAGGAATTTGATGTCGGAACGTACTTCTGTACATCGTTTACACAAAACAAAACACAGCTTCAAGCAAATCAGTTCACGAAGTTGGTATACGGAAAGGACAAAAAGGTTACAATTGCGTACAAATCCATAGCAAACTCGGAGGTTTGGCTCAGTCATTCGGTTTCCATTCAACCAGGTGACCTGATACATTTCCGATGTGTACTTTGGTCGACCAATCCATCGAATCGCGAGGCTAAAAGTTTCAAAATTAGACCAGAGACAGATTCTGCCGTTAACAATCGCACAACCTATATCTCTCCA